ATCAAGCCACCTATGACCCTCTTCACAAAACTGGAAAAAACCACCTTAAACTTCATATGGAACCAAAAGAGACGCTGCATAACCAAGACAATCCTAAGCGAAAAGAACAAAGCTGGAGGCATCACACTACCTGACTTCAAAGTATACTATAAGGCTACAATAATCAAAACAGCATGGTATTGGTACCAAAACAGAGATATAGACCAATGGAACAGAACAGAGGCCTCAGAGGCAATGCGACACATCTACAACCATCTAATCTTTGACAAACCTGGCAAAAACAAGCAATGGGGAAAGGATCCTGTTTAATAAATGGTGTTGAATAAATTGGCTAGCAATGTGCAGAAAGCGGAAAGTGAACCCCTCCCTGACACCTTACACTAAAATTAACTCCAGATGGATTCAGGACTTAAACATAAGACCTAACACTATAAAAACCCTAGAAAAAAACCTAGGCAAAACCATTCGGGACATAGGCATAGGCAAGGACTTCATGACTAAAATACCAAAAGCAATGAGAACAAAAGCCAAAATAGACAAATGGGATATAATTAAACTTCAGAGCTTCTGTATAGCAAAAGAAACAATCATTAGAGTGAACTGGCAACCAACAGAACGGGAAAAAATTTGGGCAATCTACCCATCTGAAAAAGGGCTAATATCCAGAATCTACAAAGAACTAAAACAAATTTACAGGAAAAAAAACAAACAAACCCATTCAAAAGTGGGCAAAGGATGTGAACAGACACTTTACAAAAGAAGACATATATGAAGCCAACAAACATATGAAAAAATGTTCATCATCACTGGTCATTAGAGAAATGCAAATCAAAACCACAAAGAGATACCATCTCACGCCAGTTAGAATGGCGATCATTAAAAAATCTGGAGACAACAGATGCTGGAGAGGATGTGGAGAAATAGGAACACTTCAACACTGTTGGTGGGAGTGTAAATTAGTTCAACCATTGTGGAAGACAGTGTGGCGATTCCTCAAGGCCTTAGAAATAGAAATTCCATTTGACCCAGCAATCCCATTAACTGGGTATATATCCAAAGGACTATAAATCATTCTATTATAAAGACACATGCACACGTATGTTCATTATGGTGCTATTTACAATAGCAAAGACCTGGAACCAACCCAAATGCCCATCGATGATAGACTGGACAGGGAAAATGCGGCATATACACACCATGGAATACTATGCAGCCATAAAAAATGATGAGTTCATGTCCTTTGTAGGGACATGGATGAACCTGGAAACCATCATTCTCAGCAAACTGACACAAGAACAGATAATCAAACACTACATTTTTTCACTCGCAGGCAGGTGTTGAACAATGAAAACACGTGGACACAGATAGGGAAGCATCACACACTGAGGTCTGTTGTGGGGGAAAAGGGGAGGGACAGTGGGAGGGAGGGTGGCGAGGGATAATGTGGGGAGAAATGTCAAGTACAGGTGATGGGGGGATGGAGGCAGCAAACTACCTTGCCATGAATGTACTTATGCAACAATTTTGCAGGATCTGCACGTGTTCCCCAGAATCTAAAGTATAATAAAGAATAATAAAAAAAAGGAAAAAAAAAGAAATAAAACAAAAAAGAGAAAGTAAACAACAAATTAAAATTAGAAATAAACATAAAGATGGAAGGAATAAAATCAAGGACAATCTAATATAATATAAATATAATTAAAATGAGAAAGGTAAGCCTCACTATATTGAAATTTCTGTGAAACTTCTAGGTCAGGGTTATTTAGTTACCAGGTAAAGATTTTACATCAGAAGAGAGGTAGATTTTGTCACAGGTGATAGCTAAGGCCAAGAGCATGGAAGAGGTCATTTGGAGAGATCATTTCAAGTAAGAAAAGTGGGATAAGGAGAAAACCTTCAGGAACAATAATATTTAGGACATAGACAAAAGAAGCCAGCAAAAGAGGCTGTGGGAAAATAGTCAGATATATAGCAGAAAAACTAGGAAAGAAGGGATAGGTTAATGGTGTGTCCCAGGGGTCAAGTTAGATGACAGTGTACACTGGATATGACAATAAGTTAGTTGCTGGTGACTTTAGAGAGAGTAACTTTAATTGCGGTGAGGATGGGTTGGGAAAACTAGATGCCTATGGGTTTGAGGAGTAAATGGGAAGTGAGAATGAAAATATATTGAATGTACCTATTATTCTTTTAATAATCTTAGCCATTAAGTGGAAGAGAAAAACATCATTGTAGCTGGAGGGAGACAGAGTCCAAGGAAGTACAAAAATAGAGAATTAAGATATGGGGTGCTGATAGGAAGGAGTCAACAGGTATGGAAAGGCTGAAGACAGAGGAGAGAGAAATCCCTAAGGAAGCTGTAAAGGATGAGATCCAGAGTAAAGGTAGCTTTAGACAGAGCAAAGCATATGACAATGAAGATGATGATTAAAATTTGAATAAGATGGGTTGGGCGCGGGGGCTCACGGCTGTAATCCCAGCACTTTGGGAGGCCGAGGTGGGTGGATCACGAGGTCAAGAGATCGAGACCATTTTGGTCAACATGGTGAAACCCCGTCTCTACTAAAAATACAAAAAATTAGCTGGGCATAGTGGCACGTGCCTGTAATCCTAGCTACTCTGGAGGCTGAGGCAGGAGAATTGCTTGAACCCAGGAGGTGGAGGTTGCGGTGAGCCGAGATCGCGCCATTGTACTCCAGCCTGGGTAACAAGAGTGAAACTCCGTCTCAAAAAAAAAAAATGAATAAGATGAAAATTATAGCTAACATTTATTGAACAGTTAGTATGTGTCGGGCAGTATGATAATATAATTTAATTCCTTAGGAATGCTAATGGATAGCTTTTATTACTAGTGCCATTTTACAGATGAGAAAACTGAAGCACAGAGAAGTTAAGTTACTTGTTCAAGATCACAAATCTAATACACGTTCAGGCTGGGATGCAAATCTGGGTCTGCTTGATGCCGTAGCCTGAACTCTTAACCACTATTATCATACTGCTAATCTAGTTTGTCCTTGCCATTGATTACAAACAATTGAACTAAAGCCACAAACAGTTTATCTTTGGTGTTGGTCATAAAGGGAAGAGCTAGTCAGTATTTAAACCTCAACCCTTGTACAGCATTTAATAAATGCTCCTGATCCCATTTCCTCTTTTTTCCTTTTGTATCTTCTAGAATGAGAATGCAGGGCCGTTGGTCCCTGCATATATTGATAACACTGAGCAGGATAACTAAAAGCTGCTTTCTTCTTCCTTCCCTGAATCAAAAATTCTTAAATTACAAACCCTTAAAGGAAATCAGTGTAACCATGAGCAATTGCATATTATTATCCTCTCATACAGTCTTCATCAATCTATATGTGCACTCATTTTACTCCTATCTTTGTGTCTCAGGCGCATCATTTATATGCAGAAGCAACATCAACAACAACAAAATGACCACAGAGGTGCCTCTAATAAGGAGCAAACGGTAGGAAAATTGAGTATAGTATATATCATCTTTGGCTCAAAAGCATCTTATTCCATGTGGAAAAGTTATCCTTCTATCATTCCTCCTCTTCCACTTTTTATAAATCAGATTCAGATTCTTCTTAACGCCATACTCAAAGCAGCTGTGTTTGCATGACTGACCCCTTTGCAATGTGTTAATAACTAAATGTGACAAATCTGTACAAATTCCAAAACTAATGGTTAGCCAACACATTTTTTTGGGATAATTTATAATTCCCTTGAAAAATGTAAAATTACATTTTAATAATTAACAAAATTAGGACTCCATTTATATACTAAAATGAGTTTTCAATCACTTAAAAAAATTTATTCCTAGGAATCTGATATAGTTTGGATATTTATTCCCGCAAAAATCTCATGTTGAATTGTAATCCCCAATGCTGGAGGAAGGGCCTGGTGGGCACTGTTTGGGTCATGGAGGTGGATCCCTCTTGGCTTGGTGCTGTCTTCAGCTAGTGACTGAGTTCTTGTGAAATATGGCTGTTTAAAAGTCTGTGGCACCTCCTTCTTAACTCTCTCTCAGTTTCTTCTGTTTTTGCTTGCTTCCCCTTCACCTTCCACCATGATTGGAAGCTCCTTAAGGCCTCCCCAGAAGATGCTGTTATGTTTTTTTTTTTTTTTTAAGATGGAGTTTCACTCTTGTTACCCAGGCTGGAGTGCAATGGCATGATCTCGACTCACCGCAACCTCCGACTCCTGGGTTCAGGCAATTCTCCTGCCTCAGCCTCTGGAGTAGCTGGGATTACAGGCATGGACCACCATGTCCAGCTAATTTTTTGTATATTTAGTAGAGACGGGGTTTCACCATGTCGACCAGGATGGTCTAGATCTCTTGACCTCGTGATCCACCCACCTTGGCCTCCTAAAGTCCTCGGATTACAGGCTTGAGCCACCGTGCCCAGCCTATGCTGTTATGTATCCTGTATAGCCTGCAGAACCATGAGACAATTAAATCTCCTTTTTAATAAATGTTTAAATAAAATTATAAAATTTTAAAAATATAATTTTTTATTAAAAATAAAATTAAATACATTAAATAAAATAAATAAATTTAATTCAATCAATTAATTAATTAAATAAAAATTAAATGAATTTTTTATAAGTTACCCAGTCTCAGGTATTTATTTATGGCAATGCAAGAATGGCCCAAGACAGAATCAGGAGGGATAGCCTGGGAGAAATGCCAAACGTGGGTGAAGGGGAGGAAGGCGGCAAAACACACAGCCATGTGTGTACCTATACAACTATCTTGCATGTTCTGCACATGTACCCCAAAACCCAAAATGCAATAATAAACAAACAAATAAATAAATAAATAAAAATTAAGCTAAGGTATTTCAAAATGATGTTTCTAGGGGAAGGGAAAGAAAGTCATACAAATCCCCAGCAGCAAATATAATCTTGGTTCAAATAGAATGGAAAATAATTTAAAAATCACTCAAGACTATCACACATAAAGACCTTACACTGTAAATGTCTAATCCACCTACCCACAGGGCTCTTGAAAATAGGTAGTGTCAGTGTGCCGATCCAGGGCTAACTTGGTATATGCAGTGTCACCTCTGGAGGAGTCCGAAGTGAAATACCACATCCTCCCATAAATGGTTTCTCTGTCAGATGAAATAAAGAAAGAACTGTTAGCTATCTGAAATGTTCATTCTTGTCTTTCAAAACCCTTTCCAATACTTATTTTTATTTTTTATTGCATTTTAGGTTTTGGGGTACATGTGCAGAGCATACAATACAGTTGCATAGGTACACACATGGCAGTGTGTTTTGTTTGCTTTTTCCCCTTCACCCACATTTGGCATTTCTCCCCAGGCTATCCCTCCCCACCTCCCCCTCCCACTGGCCCTCCCCTTTTCCCCCCAATAGACCCCAGTGTTTAGTACTCCCCTCTCTGTGTCCATGTGTTCTCAATTTTCATCAACCGCCAATGAGTGAGAATATGCGGTGTTTCATATTCTGTTCTTGTGTCAGTTTGCTGAGGATGATGTACTCCAGATTCATCCATGTCCCTACAAACGATATGAACTCATCATTTCTGATTGCTGCATAATATTCCATGGTGTATATGTGCCACATTTTCCCAATCCAGTCTATCATCAATGGGAATTTGGGTTGATTCCAGGTCTTTGCTATTGTAAACAGTGCTGCAATGAACATTTGTGTGCATGTGTCCTTATAGTAGAACGATTTATAGTCTTTTGGATATATACCCAGTAATGGGATTGCTGGGTCAAATGGAATTTCTATTTCTAAGGCCTTGAGGAATCGCCACACTGTCTTCCACAATGGTTGGACTAATTTACACTCCCACCAACAGTGTAAAAGTGTTCCTTTTTCTCCACATCCTCTCCAGCATCTGTTGTCTCCAGATTTTTTAATGATCGCCATTCTAACTGGCGTGAGATGGTATCTCAATGTGGTTTTGATTTGCATCTCTCTGATGACCAGTGACGATGAGCATTTATTCATATGGTTGTTGGCCTCATATATGTCTTCTTTCGTAAAGTTTCTGTTCATATCCTTTGCCCAATTTTGAATGAGTTTGTTTGTTTTTTTCCTGTAGATCTGTTTGAGTTCTTTGTAAATTCTGGATATCAGCCCTTTGTCAGATGGGTAAACTGCAAAAATTTTTTCCCATTCTGTTGGTTGCCGATTCACACTAGAGACTGTTTCTTTTGTTGTGCAGAAGCTGTGGAGTTTGATTAGGTCCCATTTGTCTATTTTGGCTTTTGTTGCCAATGCTTTTGCTGTTTTGTTCATGAAGTTCTTGCCTACTCCTATTTCCTGGATGGTTTTGCCTAGATTTCCTTCTAGGGTTTTTATGGTGCCAGGTCTTATGTTTAAGTCTTTAATCCATCTGGAGTTAATTTTAGTGTAAGGTGTCAGGAAGGGGTCCAGTTTCTGCTTTCTGCACATGGCTAGCCAGTTTTCCCAGCACCATTTGTTGAACAGGGAATCCTTTCCCTATTGCTTGTTTTTGTCGGGTTTATCAAAGATTGTATGGTTGTAGATATGTTGTGTTGCCTCTGATGCCTCTGTTCTGTTCCATTGGTCTATATCTCTGTTTTGGTACCAGTACCATGCTGTTTTGATTACTGTAGCCTTGTAGTATAGTTTGAAATCTGGTAGTGTGATGCCCCCCGCTGTGTTCTTTTTGCTTAGAATTGACTTGGCTATGCGGGCTCTCTTTTGGTTCCATATGAAGTTCATGGTGGTTTTTCCAGTTCTGTGAAGAAAGTCAATGGTAGCTTGATGGGTATAGCATTGATTCTGTAAATTACTTTGGGCAGTATAGCCAGTTTTATGATATTAATTCTTCCTAACCATGAACATGAAATATTTCTCCATCTGTTTGTGTCCTCTCTTATTTCCTTGAGCAGTGGTTTGTAGTTCTCCTTGAAGAGGTCCCTTACGTTCCTTGTGAGTTGTATTCCAAGGTATTTTATTCTTTTTGTAGCAATTGTGAATGGCAGTTCGTTCTTGATTTGGCTCTCTTTAAGTCTGTTATTGGTGTAGAGGAAGGCTTGTGATTTTGCACATTGATTTTATATACAGAGATTTTGCTGAAGTTGTTTATCAGTTTCAGGAGTTTTTGGGCTGAAGCAATGGGGTCTTCTACGTATACTATCATGTCGTCTGCAAATAGAGACAATTTGGCTTCCACCTTTCGTATTTGAATACGCTTTATTTCTTTTTCTTGCCTGATTGCTGTGGCTAGAACTTCCAGTACTATATTGAATAGAAGTGGTGAAAGAGGGCATCCTTGTCTAGTGCCAGATTTCAAAGGGAATGCTTCCAGTTTTTGCCCATTCAGTATGATATTGGCTGTGGGTTTGTCATAAATAGCTTTTATTACTTTGAGATACATTCCATCGATACCGAGTTTATTGAGGATTTTTAGCATAAAGCGCTGTTGAATTTTGTCAAATGCCTTCTCTGCATCAATTGAGATAATCATGTGGTTTTTGTTTTTGGTTCTGTTTATGTGGTGAATTACATTTATAAACTTGCGTATGTTGAACCAGCCTTGCATCCCTGGGATGAATACTACTTGATCATGATGAATAAGTTTTTTGATTTGCTGTTGCAATCGGCTTGCCAATATTTGATTGAAGATTTTTGCATCTATGTTCATCATGGATATTGGCCTGAAGTTTTCTTTTCTTGTTGGGTCTCTGCCGGGTTTTGGTATCAGGATGATATTGGTCTCATAGAATGATTTGGGAAGGACTCCTTCTTTTTGGATTATTTGGAATAGTTTCAGAAGAAATGGTACCAACTCCTCTTTGTGTGTCTGGTAGAATTCGGCTGTGAACCCGTCTGGACCTGGGCTTTTTTGTGTGGTAGGCTCTTAATTGCTGCCTCGACTTCTGCCCTTGTTATTGGTCTATTCATAGTTTCAGCTTCCTCCCGGTTTAGGGAGTCTATGTCTCTTTGTAAGGCGTTAAGAACTTGCCTTATATATCTGGGTGCTCCTGTATTGGGTCCATATACGTTTAGGATCGTTAGCTCTTCTTGTTGTATCGATCCTTTTACCATTACGTAATGGCCTTCTTTGTCTCTTTTGATCTTTGTTGCTTTAAAGTCTATTTTATCAGAGATGAGAATTGCAACTCCTGCTTTCTTTTGCTCTCCATTTGCTTGGTAAATCTTCCTCCATCCCTTTATTTTGAGCCTTTGTGTATCCTTGCATGTGAGATGGGTTTCCTGGATTTTTATCCAATTTGCCACTGATGGGTTTTGGATTTTTATCCAATTTGCCAGTCTGTGTCCTTTGATTGGTGCATTTAGTCCATTTGCCTTTAGGGTTAATATTGTTATGTGTGAATTTGATACTGCTATTTTGATGCTAGCTGGCTGTTTTGCCTGTTAGTTGTTGTAGATTCTTCATTATGTTGCTGCTCTTCAGCATTTAATGTGATTTTGGAATGGCTGGTACTGTTTGTTCCTTTCTATGTGTAGTGCCTCTTTCAGGAGCTCTTGTAAAGCAGGCCTGGTGGTGACAAAATCTCTGAGTACTTGCTTGTTCGCAAAGAATTTTATTTTCCCTTCTCTTATGAAGCTCAGTTTGGCTGGATATGAAATTCTGGGTTGAAAGTTCTTTTCTTTAAGGATGTTGCATATTGGCCCCCACTCTCTTCTGGCTTGTAGAGTTTCTGTCGAGAGATCTGCTTCGAGTCTGATGGGCTTCCCTTTGTGGGTGACCCGACCTTTCTCCCTGGCTGCCCTTAGTATTTTCTCCTTTATTTCAACCTTGTTGAATCTGATGATTATGTGCCTTTTGGTTGCTCTTCTTGTGGAATATCTTTGTGGTGTTCTCTGTATTTCCTGCAATTGAGTGTTGGCCTGTCTTGCTAGGTGGGCGAAATTTGCCTGGATAATGTCCTGAAGAGTATTTTCCAGCTTGGATTCATTCTCTTCGTCACATTCTGGTACGCCTATCAAATGTAGGTTAGGTCTCTTTACATAGTCCCACATTTCTTGGAGACTTTGTTCATTCCTTTTTGCGCTTTTTTCTCTGATCTTGGTTTCTTATTTTATTTCATTGAGTTGATCTTCGACTTCTGATATTCTTTCTTCTGCTTGGTCAATTCAGCTATTGAAACTTGTGCATGCTTTGTGAAGTTCTTGTATTGTGTTTTTGAGCTCCTTAATCCATTCATATTCCTCTCTAAAGTGTCCATTCTTGTTATCATTTCATGAAATCTTTTTTCAAGGTTCTTAGTTTCTTTGCATTGATTTAAAACATGTTCTTTTAGCTCACAAAAGTTTCTCATTATCCACCTTCTGAAGTCTAATTCCGTCATTTTGTCACAGTCATTTTCCATCCAGCTTTGTTCCCTTGCTGGTGAGTTTTGGTCCTTTCTAGGCGGCGAGGTGTTCTGGTTTTGGGTGTTTTCCTCCTTTTTGCACTGGTTTCTTCCCATCTTTGTGGATTTATCCACCTGTTGTCTGTGTAGTTGCTGACTTTTCGATTGGGTCTCTCAGTGGACACCCAAATTGTTGATGATGAAGTATTTCTGTTACTTGGTTTTCCTTCTACCAGTCTAGCCCCTTTGCTGTACGACTGCTGAGGTCCACTCCAGGCCCTGCTTGTCTGGGATGCACCTATAGCAGCTGCGGAACAGCGAGGGATGCTACCAGTTTCTTTTTCTGCTATCTTTGTCTCAGAATGATGCCTGCCAAATGTCAGTCTTTTGGATATAGAGGGGTCAGGGAGCTGCTTGAGGAGACAGTCTGTACTTTGTAGGAGCTCAATTGCTGAGCTGTGAGCTCTGTTGTTCATTCAGGGCTGTTATGCTGCTATGTTTAATTCTGCTGCAACATAACTCATAAAAAAAACCTTTTTTTCTCAGATGCTGTGTCTGCGGGGGGGGGGTTTGGGCTTTCCTTGTGAGTGTCCGCCTCGCTGTCCTGCCCAGCTAGGAGGCAGTCTAGTCACTATTTGCCTGCGGAGGCTCCGCCCTGCTGGTGTGAGATTCGCCCTGTTTCTGCAGGCTCTGCCTTTCTGCTGCGGTCTCTGCCCTGTTGCCGCGGGCTATGCCCTGCGGCGGAGTCTCTCTGTTGTACCGGGTTGCCTCAGCAACAGCAGGCTGGGTCAGCAATGGGCGTGTACCTCAGTAGGGGCTGATTGCCTCGGTAATGGCGGACGCCCCTCCCCCATGGAGCTCTGCTTTAAAAAAACCTCCTCACCGGAGCGTTTGGAATCGCCGTTTTGTTTGTTGTACTGCGCTACCCCAAACGTTGTGTCCCTGGGGTTTCCTGGGCTGGCTCACTGTCCAAGTCCTGTTCAGTCTCAAGTTCAGCCCTCTCAGGTCTCAGTTTGCCGGTTCAACAGGGCACCCGTAACAGTGCGCTTTTGTATGGAGCGCTGTGGAGCGCCTCTGTGCTCCAGCACGGGCCGCAGCCACACTGGCTGACGGCTACACCTGCCAAGACCTCTGCTTGGTGTCCCACATCTCTTTTATACCTGGGAATTTCCCCGTTCTGTGGGCAAATAAGATCCATCTGGAAATGCGTCCCTGACTCACCCTCTCCACACATCCAGCGAGAGCTTCAATCCTGGGTTGTTCTCACAGCGCCATCTTGAGTCCTCCCTCCAGTATTTTTTTTTTTGAGACGGAGTTTTGCTCTTGTTACCTAGGCTGGAGTGCAATGGCGCGATCTCGGCTCATCGCAAACTCTGCCTCCTGGGTTCAGGCAATTCTCCTGCCTCAGCCTCCTGAGAAGCTGGGATTACAGGCACGTGCCACCGTGCCCAGCTAATTTTTTGTATTTTTAGTAGAGATGGGGTTTCACCATGTTGGCTAGGATGATCTCGATTTCTTGACCTCGTGATCCACCCGCCTCGGCATCCCAAAGTGCTGGGATTACAGGCTTGAGCCACCACGCCCAGCCCTTTTCAATACTTCTTTAGTTACTCAAAAATAACAATAGATTTTCTTTGGTTCCAGGATTTCATTTATAAGGTGAAAATGACAGTTGAACATGCTAGTCTTGACAATTCTGTCATTGATTAACATTCTAGAAAGTTGAGAAGAAAACTGTGAAAGTATAATGTTCTATTCTGGAAGCTTAGAGAATCATTCCACACTGATTTAGTACCCAGTTTTCATAGCCTTCATAAATTCAAGGTTTTTTTCTATGCTCACCTTTATTTCATAGAAAAAGATGATGTAGCTGCTTCTGGAAATGAGTTAACTTTATTTACTATTTTTATAGCTGTTGTCTTTTATTAGTCTCATTTTTTCAATAATGGTGATCATTTCCTAATATTTTGGATAATCTAATTTGCAAGGATGACTGAAGAGTTTTCATATTCTTTATAAGACACAGAAGTGATTAATGTTGATTGTCATCTTTTGGACATGAAGAAATAAGGAAAAGAGAAAAGGATAGTTTGTGTTAGCAAGTATTTAGTGAGATTTGCCATACCCTTGTTGTTGTGTCTCTCCTTAAAGTATACAACATATATTTTGATTTTGTAATTATTTTCCCGGTGGGCTCAAAAGGTCACTTGAATTCTTCTTTTTTGAGACGGAGTTTCGCTCTTGTTACCCAGGCTAGAGTGCAATGGTGCGATCACGGCTCACCGCAACCTCCACCTCCTGGGTTCACGCAATTCTCCCGCCTCAGCCTCCCGAGTAGCTGGGATTACAGGCACGCGCCACCATGCCCAGCTAATTTTTTGTATCTTTAGTAGAGACGGGGTTTCACCATGTTGACCAGGATGGTCTTGATCTGCTGGCCTCGTGATCCACCCACCTCAGCCTCCTAAAGTGCTGGGATTACAGGTTTGAGCCACTGCACCCGGCCTGGTCACTTCAATTATTTAGCCTTCAGAGTTCATCTTATTTTCTGAACCCTTTAAGTTCAAATAGGAAATGGTCTTTCTTTTAAACCATTATCCCTAAGCTGTCTCAATTTATTGCTTACCAGCACAGTTTCTTTCACTTGAAAGTTCTCAAACCATGATTAAAACCGAATGGCTCACAGATGCTGTTAATTATGCTCTTCCAGCACAGGGCAGAAGACCCAACGTATTATCTACTACAAAATGAGCTATATCTGGAACTTATTAAGTAAAAGAAAAGTACGAATCATAATAAAGTAGGTTGATATCCTTTGGGTGGCCGAGGTGGGTGGATCATGAGGTCTAGAGATTGAGACCATCATGATCAACATGGTGAAACCCCGTCTCTACTAAAAATACAAAAAATTAGCTGGGCACGGTGGTGCCTGCCTGTAATCCCAGCTACTCGGGATGCTGAGGCAGGAGAATTGCCTGATTCCAGGAGGCAGAGGTTGCGGTGAGCCGAGATTGTGCCATTGCACTCCAGCCTGGGTAACAACAGCCAAACTCCATCTCAAGAAAAAAAAAAAAAAGTAGGTTGATATCACACTTAATACTATAGAAGATAAATCTATATAGCACCCAGAAATGCAGAATGGTAATGAAAAGAACAGTGTATTTATGATTAGGAAGCCTGGGCTATTTGAATTCAAGTTCTATTGTTTACTAGCAGAGCAATCCTGGGTAAAACGCTTGGTATATTTGAGTGTCAGTGCCTCATCAGTAAAACGGGGGAAATAACTTTAAAAGAAAATAACGGGCCGGGTGTGGTGGCGCAAGCCTGTAATCCCAGCACTTTGGAAGGCCGAGGCAGGTGGATCACGAGGCCAGCAGATCGAGACCATCCTGGTCAACATGATGAAACCCCGTCTCTACTAAAAATACATAAAATTAGCTGGGCATGGTGGCGCATGCCTGTAATCCCGGCTACTCTGGAGGCTGAGGCAGGAGAATTGCCTGAACCCAGGAGGCGGAGGGTGCAGTGAGCCGAGATTGCACCATTGCACTCCAGCTTGGGTAACGAGAGTGAAACTCTGTCTCAAAAATAAATAAATAAATATATAAACAAACAAATAAATAAATAAAAATAATGGGTGTACATGTGCTGCCTGAATGCTATATAGCCTTTTAAGGCAGTGTTATTAACAATCAGTCTTGGAATCAAGCCATAGGGATTGTAGAGGGTCAAAACTGGATAACCTTTAGATACTATCTTATTCAATCCTCTTTTGAACGGACAGGAAAATAGAAGACAGTGGGGGTCTAGGACGTGTGTCTGTGTGTGTAATGGACATGTCTACTTGATGGTAGAACTCAGACTACTATCCAGTTATCCTTACAATCAGTGTTTTTCCAGTGTACGATAATATCTCTCACTTTGAGGATCACTGGGCTAGAAACATATTACCAACGACTCTGTATAAATCATTATATTTTACATGCAAATGTATTTAGAGTTTAAAAATCCAGACCTCAAATAAAGCACTGCAAATGGGAATCCCCTTATTCATACTCAAAATATTCTGAATTGAAAATGAGAGTGACCATACCCGTTACATTTATTTATTGGTACTCATGATCTGGAAATTAACTATGGTAATGTGGATATCAGGAAACACATGAATTACCTGATTAAGCTGATCCTTTCTGCCAACTTCTCTGTGTGCTCTTGAGTGGGAGGGACATTTTCTACAAAAGCAATTCCATAGAGCAGAAAGTTTTGCAGAAACTTCTTCAATCCCTCCTTGGTTTCTAAGAAGCTCTGGCAATCTGCAGATGGAACTTGGGCTTGCTGGTAGATTTCAGCATTCCATAATATCCTAGGCTGGATGACTTTTTGTTTCTGCCCTTCGTAGCTGTTTTTCACTAGCCAATTCAAGTCGTATTTAGTCACGTGACCATCTGACCCTTTTAAGGGGAAAAATAAAAGGCACTAAAATAATAATTACAAATAATGTCAACATTTTAATTGGTTATAAAGTATAATTGAGTATAATTTCTTAGAAATCAGTTACCTAGTACTGTATTGTTTATGAAACCAAATTAAAATGAGTGCCTAGAATGTTTCTGAGACAGAAATATGTGTGGTTTGAATGATATGCCTGAATAAATGAATGAACAAATAAATCTTCCCAGAGGCTAAATAAGTTAACAGAATTATAGTTAACATGCTAAAAGGCCATCTGGCAAATTAACCAAGTCATCACAGAATGACAATCCAGGTAGGTTTTACCCTACTTGGTACTCTCTCCTTGTCCCCATCCCTGTCTTCCATCTATATAGGAACTCAGAATGTTTGAGCTAGAAGGGGCTAATCTTTATTTTACAGATGGAGATAAAGTCAGTTAGTGACTCACTCAGGATCATACCACTAAGTACTATAGGTGGAACTAGAACCCCACCTTCTTGCTTCTAGAAGTTCACTACGGCCAGGCGCGGTGGCTGAAGCCTGTAAACCCAGCACTGTGGGAGGCTGAGGCAGGTGGATCACGAGGTCAAGAGATCGAGACCATCCTGGTCAACATGATAAAACCCCGTCTCTACTAAAAATACAAAAAATTAGCTGGGCACGGTGGCGCGTGCCTGTAATCCCAGCTTCTTGGGAGGCTGAGGCAGGAGAATTGCCTGAACCCAGGAGGTGGAGGTTGCGGTGAGCGGAGATTGCGCCATTGCACTCCAGCCTGGGTAACAAGAGCGAAACTCCAGTTCAAAAAAAAAAAAAAAAAAAAAAGAAGTTCAGTACCATTCTATGCTACCTTCCTCTTCTACATGATATAGGACATTTCTGTCTAATTATATGGCATCAACACAATATGATAAAATGACTTTGTGACTTCACCTGCTTTGCACCACCCTCACCCAAAAAAAGTTGAAAACCAACCCCAAAATGCTTTAGAAAATCTTCAAGATAAGCAAAGGAAGCAAGTAGCAGAAGGAGTGAAAGGTTTGTCTATCCTTTTTACTTCTCTCTCTCTTTTTCTCCCTCCCCATGATAAAAAAGTATCACACTTTGGATAATTTGGAAAGCATAAAAAGTATGAGACAATTAAAAGTCACCATGTTTATCATTCTACCACCCAGATGAAACTATGATTGACAGCTTGGCATCATTCCTTTCAGTTTTTTTCTATGTATTCTCTTATTTTATATAATTCATATACATAAATATGGTATATAAAACTTGGGACCCTGCCATTGTCACTTAACATTGTAACAATTTTTAAAATTAAATTTTATCATTTTTTAAATTAAGTCTTTATTAAAGTTAATTTTTAAAGCTTGCAAAATGTACATTACCAAGATTTACCTAACCCATCTGTTCTTCTGGGTATGTACATGTATTTTACATTTTTTCCTATTATTTAATAGTGATCATCTTTAACCATATTCTAATAATTTGGAAATAGAATGCATATTTCTTGAAGGTTTGTACCTTTGCATTTAGAAATTTCAAAGATACAAACTTTTAAGAGTTCTGATATACATGATCATATTACTTTCTAGAAAGTCTACTAATCTTCATTCCCTCCAACAGTACCTATGTGTCTATCAAAATGGAGTATTCTTATTTTTAAAATATATGTTTTTTTCTAATTTGGTAAGTAAAGTGAAACTGCTGTCTTGTAATAATTTTAATTTATTTGTTTACTAATAAGGCTCATAAGAATACTTTTTCTATTTGTTAGACATCTATGTTTCTTTTCTTTTCTTTTTTTTTGAGACAGAGTTTCTCTCTTGTTACCCAGGCTGGAGTGCAATGGCGCAATCTCGGCTCACCGCAACCTCCGCCTCCTGGGTTCAGGCAATTCTCCTGCCTCAGCCTCCTGAGTAGCTGGGATTACAGGTGTGAGCCACTGCGCTTTGTTACATATTTTCTATAGCTCCATTCACTCACAGCTCAAGAGCTGAAGAATCGAATAGTTGTGACAGAGACCATATAGCCCACAGAGTTTAAAAATATTTACCATCTTGTTCTTTACAGAAAATGTTTGATACTCCTGCTTTAATGATTTGTCTGTTCAGTACTTTCTAACATTTTTCTATTGTAATAATTGTACTTTTCTTACAATTTAACAATAGCACCTTACATATTAAGGATATTTAGTTTTTGTCATATATTTTCCTAATATTTTGCCAAGTTGCCTGTTTTTAAATAAATGTTTCTATGGCATTGTTTCTTCTATTGTAAAGAAATTAGTAGTCAATGTGTGGATTGTAAGTATGTTTTTTCCTCCAATACTTTTTCTTTCAACTTTTTTATTTGGAGATAATAGATTCATAGGATGTTAAGAAATGGTAGGAAAGTCCCATAAGCTCTTCCCCAAGCCTTCCTTAGTGTTAACATGTTATATAACCACAGTACAATGCCCAAACCAAGAAAGTGGTATTGGTACAATCCCTTGAGCCTATTCAGATTTAAGCAATTAAACATATATTCATGTGTATAGATCTATGCAGTGTAATTACATGTGTAACTTTGTGTAACCACCACCACAGTCAAGATACTCAACCATATGACTCCTCCATGTTACCCTTTTATAGCTACATTTGCCACCTCCTACCCCTGCATCCCTAACTCCTGGCAACCAATAATCTGTTCTCTATCTCTATAATTATGTTATTTCATGAATATTACATAAATGAAATCATGTAGATTGATTGTTTTACTTCAGCATAATTTAATTGAGGTTCTTCTGAGTTACTGTGTCTATCATTAGCTCATTTCTTTTCATTGCTGAGTAGCATTTTATCATATGGATGGTTTGTTTAACCATTCACTTACTGGGTAGTTTCCAGTTCTTGGCTATTACAAATAAGGCTAATGTGAACATTAATGTATAGGGTTTTTTTGTGAACATAAGTTTTCATCTCTTTGGGATAAATGCCCAGGAGTGTGATTTCTAGGTTGCATGTTTAAGTTTCTTTTTTCTTAAGAAACTACCAAACTGTTTTCCAGAGTATAGCATTTTACATTCCCATGAGCAAAGTATGAGTGACAGAATTTCTCTACATCTTCTCTAATATTTGGTGTAGTCACTGTTTTTTAATTTAGTCATTCTGATAGGTATTTAGTGTAGACTCATTGTGATATTAACTTTCTTTCTTTTTTTTTTGAGACAGAGTCTTGCTCCAGCACCAGGCGCCAGGTTGGAGTGCAGTGGCATGATCTTGGCCCACTGCAACCTCTGCCTCCCAGGTTCAAGCAATTCTCCTGCCTCAGCCTCCTGAGTAGCTGGGACTACATGTGTGCACCACCACGCCAAGCTAATTTTTGTATTTTTTTTTTTTTTTTTAGTAGAGAACAGGTTTCACCATGTTGGCCAGGATGGTCTCCATCTCTTGATCTCATCATCTGCCCACCTTGGCCTCCCAAAGTGCTGGGATTACAGGCGTGAGCCACTGTACCCGGCCCGTGATATTAACTTTCATTTGTCTAACAGCTAATAATGTTGAACATCTTTACATGTGTTTATTTGCCATCTGTATATAGTATTCAGCAAAATATGTGAGCATATCTTTTATCCATTTTTAAATTGTATTGCTTGTTTTTTATGCTGAGTTTTAAGAGTTCTAGCACCAGGCAAAATCTGAAGCTGTTCTTTTCTTGATTTTTTATAGTTTCATGTTATACATTTAAGTCTACAATCTACTGTAAGTTGGTTTATATATAAGGTATGAGACTTGGGTTGAGGTTCTTTTATTTTTTTAATTATGGATGTCCAATTGCTCTAGCACCAGTGATTGAAAAGACTATTCTTCCTCCATTGAATGGCTTTTGCAATTTTGCCAAAGATCAGTTGACTATATTTCTGTGGATCTATTTCTGGGTTTTTTATTCTGTTCGATTGATCTATGTGTATCTGTCCCTCCACCAATACCACACTGTTTTGATTACTCCAGTCTTAACATCAGGAAGTGATTTCTTCCCACTTAATTCTTCACTTTCATAATTGTGCTGGCTCTCCTAGGGTCTGTGTATTTCCATTTAAATTTTAGAGCAAGCTTGTTTATAAAAAAAAAAATCTCGCTTTTATTTTGACAGGAATTGCATTAAAACTATAGATCAATTTGGAGAAAACTGACATCATTACTATGTTGAGTCTTCCAATCCATGAATATGATTTGCCTCTCCATGTGTTTATGTCTTCTTTGATTTCTTTCATCAGCATTTAATAATTTTTATAATATAGATCTTATACATACTTTGTTAGATTATAGCTAAATATTTAAATTTCTTTGAAGCAGTTGAAATGGTCATTTTTCATTTCAGTTTCTACATAGAAATACAATTGATATTTGTAGGTTGATCTGTGTCCTGTGACCTTACTGAACTCATTTATTAGTTCTCATAGTTTTATTGTAGACTACTTAAGGTAGTCTATGTTAGGCTGTCATATATCTGCAAAGAAAGAGTTTTATTTTTGTAGTCTATGTTAGGCTGTCATATATCTGCAAAGAAAGAGTTTTATTTTTGTAGTCTATGTTAGGCTGTCATATATCTGCAAAGAAAGAGTTTTATTTTTTCCTTTCTAATACGTATGTATTTTATTAATTTTTCTGGATTTACTGTAAAAGAATTTTCAGTATTATGATGAACAAGAGTGGTGAGAGTGGATGTTAAATAACAGTGGTAAGAGTGGGCATCGTTGCCATGTTCCCTGCCTTAGAAGGAAAGTGTTCAGTCTCACCATTAAGTATAATGTTAACTGTGGATTATAACAACTTTATTTGAAGAAAAAAATAAAATGTTTCAAAAAGTCCTTCCAAAACAAGAAAAGAAGAAAAGTAACTAAGAGAATAACCTATTTTTGAAAGGAACAAACCATTTTCCACAAAATAATTGTTCTTTATAAGAGTACCCCCAAAGAAGACCAAGTCTCCTGCCCACTCACAAGTAAAAAAGAGTGTGGTCTTATCCAGATGAATAGTCTTTGGCTTGATACATAAATCCACACTGGCTGTGTCCAAGCTGCGCTGATGAGTCTTAGAGTTGTAGCACGATGCTGAGCGGCAGTGGTCTCGAAGCCAGACATAATCGAAGCGCATCACGGTATTAGCATATTTCAGCTCTGGAGAAAAGATCACGATAATCAGAACTATTTAACGATATAACTTTTAAAAATCAGCATCCAGAAAACTTCCTTCTAAAAGTCTTCTATCAAGAAATAAGCAAGAACAATAAGGGTTGAGAGGAGGGATTTGTCCCTTATCAGATATTAAAATATACTGTAGAACTTCTATAATTAAAATGGTGTAATGTTGTATTTTAATAGGAAGATAAAACAATGGAAGAGTATAAAAAGCCCAGAAATATACCCAAATGGATATGAAAATCCGATATGTAATAATGTGACAGTAAAAGTCACTTTTACTTTTACAGGCAAAAGATGAATTTTTAAATAAATGGTGTTGGGACAACTAGATAGGATTTAGGAAAAGATAAATTTGTGTCTGTATGTCATGTTGTCACCAGGTCACCAAGATAAACTCAAAATATATAAGAGTACTAAATTTCAAATATGAAACCATTCAAGTATCAAAAGACGGAAGCATAGGTGAGTAGAGAATATATAGGAGGCGATATGATTTGGCTCTATATCACCACCCAAATATCATTTTGAATTGTAATCCCCAATGTTGAGGGAGGGACTTGGTGGGAGGTGATTCGATCATGGGGGTGAACTTCCCCCTTGCTGTTCTCCTGAAAGTGACTGAACTCTCAAGAGATTTGGTTGTTTAAAAGTGTGTAGCACTTCCCCCTTCACTTTCTCCTGCTTTGCCATAGTAAGATGTGCTTGCTTCCCCTCATTTTACACCGTGATTGTAAGTTTCCTGAGGCCTCCCAGCCATGCTTCCTGTACAGCCTGCAGAACTGTGAGTCAATTAACTTCTTTTCTTCATAAAGCACCCAGTCTCATGTAGCTCTTTATAGCCATGTGAGAATAAACTACTACAGAAAATTATTACCAGAGAAGTGGGCCATTGCTGTAAAGTTACCTGAAAATGTAGAAGTGACTTTGGGACTAGATAGCAGGCAGAGATTGAAACAGTTTGGAGGGCTCAGAAGAAGACAGAAAGGCAAGGGAATGTTTGGAACTTCATAGAGACTTCTTGAATAGCTTTGACCAAAATGCTGATAGCAATGCAAACAGTGAAGTCTATGCTGAGGTGGTCTCAGATGGAGCTGAGGAACTTATTGGGAACTGGAGTAAAGGTCACTCTTGCTATGCTTTATCAGAGACTGGCAGCATTGTGCCCCTCCTCTAGGGATTTGTGGAACTTTCAACTTGAGAGAGCTGATTTAGGACATCCAGCAGAAGAAATGTCTAAGCAGCAAAGTGTTCAAGATGTGGCCTAGCTGCTTTTAACAGTGTATGCTCATATGCATTTGCAGAGATGGTTTCAAATTGGAACTTATATTTAAAAGGGAAACAGAGTATAAAAGGTTGGAAAATTTGCAATGAGACCATATGGTAGAAGAAGCACCACATTTTTTTTTTCTGGGGAGGAATTCAAGGCTACAGAAATTTCCATAAGCAAAGAGAAGCCAAATGTTAATACCAAGACAATGGGGAAAATGTCTCCAGGGCATGTCAAAGACCTTTGCAGCCAGCCCCTCCCATCATAGGCCCTGAGGTCTAGAGGGGAAAAAAAAGCTTTGTGGGCCAGGCCCAGGGCCCCACTGCTCTATGCAGCCTTGAGACATGGCCCCCATGTCCCATGGCTCTGTGTCTCAGCTGCTCCAGCTCTAGTCATGGCTAAAAGGGACCAAGGAAGAGCTTGGGCCATTCTCCAGAGGATGCAAGCCCCAATCCTTGGCAGCTTCCATGTGTTGTTGGGCCTATGGGTGTCCAGAAGGCAAGACTTGAGGCTTGGAAGCCTCCACCTAGATTTCAGAGGATGAGTGGAAATATCTGGATGTCCAGGCAGAAGTCTACTGCTGGGGCAGAGCCCTTATAGAGAACTTCTACTAGGACATTGTGGAGGGGAAATGTGGAGTTGGAGGGCCTCCACAGATCCTCCACTGGTGCACTGCCTAGTGGAACTATGAGAAGAGGGCTATCATCCTTAAAACCCAAGAAAGGTAGATCCACCAATAACTTGTACCATGCACTTGAAAAAGCCACAGTCACTCGATGCCAGACTGTGAAAGCACCCTTGGGGGCTGTACCCTGCAAAGTCACCGGGGTAGAGCTGCCCAAGGCCATGGGAGCCCACCCCTTGCATCAGCAAACCCTCAATGTGAGACATGAAGTCAAAGGAGATTATTTTGGAGCTTTAAAATTTACTGACTGCCCTGTTGGGTCTTGAACTTGCATGGAACTTGTACCCCCTTGGCTTTGTCCAGTTTCATTCATTGGGAATGGGAGCATTTACCCAATGCCTGTGTCCCCATTGTATCTTGGAAGTAACAAACTTGTTTTGATTTACAGGCTCATAGGTGGAAGAGACTTGCCTTGTCTCAGATGAGACTTTGGACTTGAACTTTTGAGTTAGTGCTGGAATTAGTTAAGACTTTAGGAGACTGTTGGAAGGCATGATTGGTTTTGAAATATGAAAAGGGGCCGGGTGCGGTGGCTCAAACCTGTAATCCCAGCACTTTGGGAGGCCGAGGCGGGTGGATCACGAGGTCAAGACATCGAGACCATCCAGGTCAACATGGTGAAACCCCGTCTCTACTAAAAATACAAAAAAAATTAGCTGGGCGCGGTGGTGTGTGCCTGTAATCCCAACTACTCGGGAGGCTGAGGCAGGAGAATTGCCTGAACCCAGGCAGCAGAGGTTGCAGTGAGCCAAGATTGCGCCATTGCACTCCAGCCTGAGTAACAAGAGTGAAACTCTGTCTCAAAAAAAAAAAAAAGAAATTTGAAAAGGACATAAGATTTGGGAAGGGCTGGGTGGAATGTTGGAATGATATGGTTCAGCTCTGTGTCTCCACCCAAATCTTATGTTTAATTGTAATCCCCAATTTTGGGGGAGGGACCTGGTGGGTGGTAACTGGATCACGGGGGTAAATTCTCTCCTTGCTGCTCTCATGACAGTGAGTTCTCATAAGATCTGGTTGTTTAAAAGTGTGTAGCACATGGACACAGGGAAGGGAGTACTACACAATGGGGTCTATTGGGGGGAATAGGGAAGGGACAGCGGAGGCGGGGAGGGATAGCCTGGAGAGAAATGCCAAATGTGGGTGAAGGGGAGGAAGGCAGCAAAACACAGTGCCATGTGTGTACCTATGCAACTATCTTGCATGTTCTGCACATGTACCCCAAAACCTAAAATGCAATAAAAAAAAGAAAGAAAATGAAGATTAGAAAATTGGGGAAAAAAGTGTGTAGCACTTCCCTCTTTGCTGTTTTTCTCTTCTGCTTCACAATGGTAAGATATGCTTGCTTCCCCTTTACCTTCTACCAAGAGTGTACGTTTCCTGAGGCTTCCTAGCCATGCTTCTTGTATAGCCTGTGGAACTATGTAAAATTAACTTCTTTTCTTCATAAATTAACCAGTTCTGGCAGTTATTTATGGTGATGTGAGAACAGACTAATACAGGAGGCCCCTTGTACTATTTTAGCAACTAACCTTCTGTTAATTTGAAGTTATTGCAAAATAAAAAATCACAAAAAACAAACACTTTCCATACATATGGTTACTCATTTAGAAGAGGTAGGCCGGGAGTGGTGGCTCAAGCCAGTAATCCCAGCACTGTGGGAGGCCGAGGCGGGTGGATCACGAGGTCGAGATTGAGGCCACCCCAGTCAACATGGTGAAACCCCGTCTCCACTAAAAATACAAAAAATCAGCTGGGCATGGTGGCGCGTGCCTGCAATCTCAGCTACTCGGGAGGCTGAGGCAGGAGAATTGCCTGAACCCAGGAGGCGGAGGTTGTGGTGAGCCGAGATCATGCCATTGCACTCCAGCCTGGGTAACAAGAGCTAAACTCTGTCTCCAAAAAAAAAAAAGAAAGAAAGAAAAAAGAAAAGCACAGTGAGGAGGCTTGGCAAATTCCCTCCCCCAAAAGCATTGATAAAAGTGGCCAAAACTAAAAAAGAAGCATTTCAGGCAGGACTCTAGAAATTGTCCAAAGGTATACAGCAAATTGAGAAGTATTTACTCGATTTTTAATTTCTTTTTTTTATTGCATTTTAGGTTTTGGGGTACATGTGCACAACATGCAATATAGTTGCATAGGTACACACATGGCACTGTGTTTTGCTGCCTTCCTCCCCTTCACCTCCATTTGGCATTTCTTTCCAGGCTATCCCTCCCCAGCTCCCCCCCATGCTGTCCCTCCCCTATTCCCCTCAATAGATCCCAGTGTTTAGTACTCCCTTCCCTGTGTCCATGTGTTCTCATTTTTCCTCACCCACCTATGAGTGAGAATATGTGGTATTTCATTTTCTGTTCTTGTGTCAGTTTAACTTCTTTAGTAACCTTCATACTGTTTCCCATAATTGCTACACCAATGTACATTCTCACCAGCAGGGTACAAGAGTTCCTTTTTATCCACACCCTTGCTGACGCTTGTTATCTCTTGTCTTTTTGATAATAGATATTCTAATGGGTGTCAGGTGGTGTATCAGAGTAGCTTTGATTTGCATTTATCTTATAATTAGTAATGCTGAACATCTTTTCATGTATGTGTTGGTCATTTGTATGTCTTCTTTGGGGAAATGTCTATCCATTGATATCATTTTTAAACTGGGTTATGGTGTCTTATTGCTATTGAGTTGTATGAGTTCTTTATAAATTTTAAATATTAACCGCTTATTACAAGTACAATTAGCAAATATTTTTTCCTAATCCACAGGATAGCCTTCCATTTTGTTCATTGTTTCCTTTGCTGTTCATAAGCTAGTTAGTTTGATATTGTCCCATTTATTTATTTTGGTTTTTTTAGCCTAAGCGGTTGGTGTGATATCCAAAAAAATCATTTCCAAGGCCAATGTTAAGGAGCTTTACCACCTATGTTTTCTTCTATGAGTTTTATGGTTTCAGGTCTTATTCTTGTTTAAGTCTTTTATTTGTTTTGGGCTGATTTGTGTGTATGATGATAAAGATCTAGTTTTATTCT